CAGAAAGTAAGTAAACATTCTAAATGCAAAGATTGCAAAACAGGGAATGACAAAACCTTCACCCAAGTCCATTCCTAGAGGCATAACGACTGAAAGAAAACAACTAATTATATCCAAACTGTGTGGACACATGCCTAAAAGCAGACAAACGTTTTGGAATAATTTACCAACTTCAATGGAACCTGGAGCTTTAGATGATTAAAAAACTGATTATGACTTTATGTTATTTTGTTTATCTTAATAAACTATAACTTTGATTAAGATAAGACTTTTTACTTTACCTTATTTTTATGATTTGTTAGGATTAAATGTCGTATCTATCAAAAGTCTAATTTCAAATACTCTGAAAGAAAATTGCACGCACTCATTAAATTTGTACTCAAAAAATATATTGCTATGTTGTAACAAGATTTTTAATGAGTCATTACAGTTGATGGCAATTAATCAAATCTAAAACATCGAATATCTCAAAATAGGGATTTTGTCAGTTACGACTTCTATTCTTAACAGGGAAGTATAATGCTGTTAAAATTTGTAATTCTATTCCTACTCCTTTTCTTCACTTAGATGTAAATACCTTAGTAAAATATGAAAAATACAAGAAAAAAATACAGAAACAGTTTTGAATTCTTAATAAATCATCTAAACTATCCATTTAGTAGCTAATGTGTAGACCAATTATAATATTTATCCAATTATATTAACTGTAAATTCGTAATTTTCTTTTAATAGCATAAATAACATAAAATCCATTGTTTAAAGTATCTTACATTAAGTGACAAAATAGTATTCGATTAAGGTTCTGGTTTGGTTCAGTTGAGTACCCTTGAGCTAGACTTGTGCCAAACTAGGACAGATACAGATTGTTTGATGTAATAAATTGTAAACTTGTATTCTCTTAAGTAAAGTCGTATTATTATCACTATTATTATTATTAGTATTATTAAATATCCTGTCATAATACAATCTTTTTTAATTCAAAATTTGTATGTTGAAAACGGCTTTCGAATTTGGCGAAAAATTAAATTTGTAATATTGTTCTGAAGCTATTTTCTTGTGGCATTTTAAATTAATTACTATTTAAATGGGAATAAGCCACAATTAAAGGTTAAAATACGTTTATTGACATTTCAATTTCCACTTCGGAAATCGTTCTCAAAATACAAACATTTACTAATGTTTGTATTTTGAGAACGATTTCCGAAGTGGAAATTGAAACGTCAATAAACGTATTTTATCCTTTAATTAAGGCGGTCGACGTGAGAAGGGCACTTAGGCTTATGTGCCCTTTTTACGAAGAATGGCTATTCAAAAATGAGGTTGGAGGAACTATTTGAATATTAGTGTGCAGAATGTTTTTTTTAAACATGTGATTGTTTATAGTTGGCTTTCTAGTTGGCACACGAATTCGAGCTAGAATCTCAAATGCGAAGAAGGAGAGAAGTAGCAAAACAACGCGTCTCAATATTGAAATCCTCAAAAATCCGCAAACAGTAGAAAGGTTTCAAAACTATATCGAAACTAAACACATAATTCATGAGGACCTAACAATTAGTGAACAATGGGAAATGTGTAAAAATAATATTAAAGAGGCAGCAAATAATATTCTAGGGCCAGAAAGACCACCACCACGTAATGACTGGTTTGATGCTGAGTGTGAGGACATTACAAGAAGAAAGAACAATGCATATAAACTGATGCAGCAAAGAAAAACCCGAGAAAAACAGCAAAAATATAAAGATCTCAGAAAAGAAGAGAAGTGCATTCATAGAAGGAAAAAGCGAACTCACGAAAATAGAATATTGGAAGAACTTGAGGTATTAAAAAAGGAAAACCAAACAAGAAAATTCTACAAAACTCTGAATAACGCAAGAAAGGAATTCAAACCAAGGCTCAGACTATGTAAGGATAAGGAGGGGCATATACTAAATACAAAAGAAGAAGTACTGAAAAGGTGGGTGGAACACTTTAAAGAACTACTTACTATAGAAGTAGAAGATCCAGATCCAAATCAACTACCCGAAGGAGCAAGGAACAATTCACCATTAGAACCCGCGTCAATTCAAGAAGTACGAGATGCAATAAAACACCTAAAAAACAATAAATCTCCAGGAAGTGATGGTATACTCGGGGAACTTATCAAATGTGGAGGTGCTTCAAATATTTGGTGGTAAAGACGTAGTATGTCTTATAAGAATAGGAAGATTAAGATGGGCACGACATCTAGCAAGATCACAGTAGAACAACCCTCCTAAAAGAATCCTTGTGTCACAACCCGTGGGAAGCAGAAAAAGGGGTAGGCCAAAACTCAGATGGAAGGATGGTGTAGATGAGGATGGTTGAAAGATAGGCGCAGCAAACTGGCAACGGTTGGCAATGGATAGGACTGCCTAGCGTAATAGACTTGGGAAGGTCGAGGCTCTTTCATAGGGCTGTAGCACCATTGATGATCACTACAAGTTTCAGACTATCACTACAACTAAATGTCCCAGACCAGAGGTGAACCAGAAGAAAGTTGAAAATGTTACAACCTTCAGATTCCTAAAGGAAGATGATGTAAACTTCATTAAATATGAAATGTTAAATGGATAGTTTATTAATGTATTAAAAATGTATAATGTAATGTATTAAAAAAGTATTTAATTCTATAATACTTCTTTTTCTTCACATGCAAAATTAATTTCAATCAAAAATCTCCTGTTCTATCTAAAAAGGGCACATCGCAGCTTTTTGTATTTCCTTATTTTTAAACATAAGCTTTATTTTTATCGATTTCATACTTAGAAATTGCTTTATGGATAAATATTGTTAATGTCTAATAAGCATTCTCAATTTTTAAACAACAAATTAGTATCTATAGCAAAGAAGTTAAAATTTCAAAGTGGTTTTTCTCGAAAACCCACTTTTGTCGTGTGTGCCCTTCTCACGTAGACCGCCTCAATTGTGGCTTATTTCCATTTAAATAGCAATTACATTAAATTTTTAAAATTTTTATGACTAAAAACTGTGACTTGCGGTGAAATAAAAAAAAAATTCAAAACGTACCGCTGATAAAAACATTAAAAATTAGTTTATCTAATATTTAAGTGCATAAAAAAAGAAATCTTACCTTTAAGTTGAATTTTTGGTCGTTTTAGTATGCACTAATCACTGGGTTATTCCGGGTACCGGAACGATCACGATGAACTACAACTCGCGATGGGTCCAATTTCGGCGACTTAATCACACCGTCTGTGTATGTGGTGTGGAGTATAAAAACAAAACACTGCGAAATTTTTGCAGGTCAGTGAAACTACTGAGAAATCCCCATATGATGAAGGTTTTCAAACTTGTTTCGTATCGCGTCGAGTGAGTTTCCCAATAGTTGAATATGAAATGTCTTTGAATTACCAATTCGTAACAGTTTAAATGTCTATTATATTATTATCAAGGATTAGACCGACTCATGAGTTGAATACATTTTGTTTAATTAAGGCTAAACTTTTTCCAGTTACACGCAGAAAAGAATGTTATACTTTTTTACATTTATCTTATCTATTGAAGTGTTAATATTGCAACAATATTATATAATATACAAGTAAATCATACTAAATTTCAGATTAATTTATATTGTTGTCATCGTCGTCTTCTTCATGGATTAGGCCTTATGACCAAAGCTCGGATTACAGGCAAAAGCCTGTTTTTAACCATTTTGCCTATTCTACAGCAAAGAGAGGTGCCCAAAGAGTGGAACGATGCTACAACCATCCTTTTGCATAAAAAAGGAGATAGAACGGACCTAGAAAATTATAGACCTATTAGCCTGTTGAACCACATATACAAGCTCTTCACTAGGGTAGTGACATCAAGATTGGAGAAAAAATTAGATTTCTACCAACCGAGAGAGCAGGCAGGATTCCGCTCAAATTATGGTACCAATGATCACCTCCACACAGTAAAAACACTCATTGAAAAATCTATAGAATATAACAAACCTCTTGTTCTCACTTTCATAGATTTTCATAAAGCGTTCGACACGATCGAATTAGACAGCCTTATAGAAGCAATGAATGACAGCAGGATTGACCATAGGTATAGTGAGCTTATTTATAATATTTACAAAAATGCCACTATGACTGTTAAAATAGACAATAAAACCCGACCAATAAAAATAAATCGTGGAATAAGGCAAGGAGATACATTGTCGCCGAAATTATTCATAACGGCATTAGAATATGCCTTTAAGATGATCAATTGGGACCACAGAGGAGTAACGATAGACGGCGAAAAGCTTAACCATCTCCGTTTCGCAGATGACATTGTCCTTATCACAGATAATTTAGGAGAAGCTACAGATATGATAAACGAATTGGATTTTGCATGTTCGAAGGTGGGCCTGAGAATGAACTTGACCAAAACTAAGTTTATGACAAATTTGGTCCCCAATAACCATTTGACTATTCAAGACAAAGTGGTAGAACTGGTGGAGAAATATACGTATTTGGGTCATGAAATAAGAATCAGCAGGGATAACCAAACATGTGAGATCCAAAGACGAATTACTTTAACATGGGCAGCCTTTGGAAAACTGCGAGACACACTTAGGGCCAACATACCAATCAGCCTCAAAAGAAAAGTGTTTGACCAATGCGTATTACCGGTCATGACCTATGGGGCGGAAACTATGACTTTAACCAAGACCACGGCTTCGAAACTGAGAGTGGCACAGAGACGAATGGAACGGTCTATGCTGGGAGTGACGTTGAGGGACCGAATAAGAAACGAAGATCTGCGAAGAAGGACGAGTATTACTGATGTTGTGGAACGCATAGCGGAACTAAAATGGAACTGGGCAGGCCATGTAGCGAGAATGCACGATTCACGATGGACGAGCAAAATTACAAATTGGAGGCCAAGAGCAGACAAACGCAGTAGAGGAAGACCACCTACACGTTGGGCCGACGACATCAGGCGTATCACTAAAAATTGGCAACAAAGAGCACAAAATCGTGAGGAATGGAGGAGTTTAAGGGAGGCCTATGTCCAGCAGTGGACGTGATAAATAGAGGCTGGATGATGATGATGATAACAGTAGTGCCAAAATTTTGGAAATTTTATAAAAATCATTGTTGGGCTACCAAACACATTGGCTGCCAACATAACAGTGTTAGGCAAGTTTCCCCGGTAGTAATGGTTAAAAAACAATATTTATTCATACAAATAGTTAATACAAGTAATCCAAAGTAAATTTAAATTCTTACAAATTTTTTGACAAAAATAGCAAGATCATGGGTGATAACATTATGCAGTAATTCTAGTAAAACTGTACTGATGGCCTAGAAATTATGAAATGCGAGGTAGAACACGCTTTAAATAATTCTAAAATTAAATGAAATGAGGTTGAATGCTCGAATAAATGAACTTTGAAAATAAGGCTATTATCGAGCACAAGTTAATTAAATCAAGCCCAAGTACTTTCGCTTATAATAGCATCTTCAGGGGCATCTGAAATAAGCCAAGAAAACGTTTTTTAGATGAAGTAAATTAGTTAACTTCGATAAAAAACTCGAAGTTAATGGATGAAAAAAGTTTTTGAGATTAACGTTTTAGACTTACTTCGTCAAAATAAGATCTATCCAGCGAGCGTAGGAAGTTGAAACATTAAAACTAACATAAATTATACAAAACACTACACTAAAACGAGGACAAACAGTTTAAAACAGTTTCTCCATTATCACCTTTTTTAGCTGATATTTTTTTGGACAGCTTAGAACAGAAATTTGTTAACAACAACAACAAAATAATTTTTTGGTCAAGGTACGTTGATGATTGTATAGCTCTGATACAAGGATCCCAAGATGATGCTTTACAGATTCTGGAAGATCTTAATAACCTTCATCCCAACATCTCTTTTACTTTGGAACCAGAATCTGACAATAAGTTGAACTTCTTGGACATGACTATATCTCGCAATAAAGATTCTCTTGAGTACAATATTTACAGAAAGCCCACCCAAACAGATCATGTTATACATGAGACATCCAACCATCCAACCCAACATAAAATGGCAGCTTTCAATAGTTATATTCACAGATTACTTAAATTTCCACTTTCAAATGATAACTTTAATGTAGAACTCAACACTCTCAAACAAATTGCTTTAAATAATGGTTATGATCCCAACATTATTCATAAGCTTCTAAATAGAGCTAAACTCAAAATTACAGAAAAGCTTGCATATTCATCACAAAGTCTTCTCCAGCAAAATTCTTCTAACAATATCAGATATTTCTCTTTTACTTATATTAGTAACATTTCTAATAAAATAGCCAAACTTTTCACTTCTACAGTTGAAAACATCAAAATTTCCTTTAAGTCACACAACACTGTAGGTTCCTTTTTAATTAACACTAAAGACAGGCTGAACACACTTGACAAAAGTGGTATTTACAAATTAAAGTGTGATGATTGTGATGCCTCTTATGTAGGCAGAACCATTAGAAAGCTATCTACTAGAATATCAGAACATTTAAAAAGACCAAACTCTTCAAGTTTTGGTCAACATTTAGAGTCTACCAAACACAATTTCAACATCAATACTGGGTCGTCTATTTTGCATGACATCAGTAGAAAGAAAAATTATTTGGAGTTGGATCTATTGGAAGATTTGGAGATCACAAAGGAAACGAATGGAAACTCTCATTGTCTTAATACTCAAATTAATTTAAACTGTACTAAATTTAAACCTATTTTTAAAAACTTTATTACAGCTTCACCTCGTAGTGGACCCAGCTCGGCTGTCTAGACTTCCTGCACTGAGTCTATACATTAAGAATCTACCAATTTCAAGCTCTGTTCAGCAGTACTATTGTATTTAACAATTTACACAACTAGCTTGCTCAGATTCAATTGATCCACAGTTGGAGTTGATTTCACTCTTCATATCTTTGCATAACTTACATATACTAATTCCACAGTTTATATTTCAACACCTGTTGGTCGGTTGGTCTTTAGTAATGCTATTACATATTAGTTTTATAGTTCCCCATTGGCTTGAGGTTTAACTGAACTACTTGAACTATAACTATTTACACACTGCTTTCAATTCTGATCTAATTTTAATATTTCAATTTTATAGTCAATTTTCTTCTCATTTTGCAATATTGACAGTGTAAGGTAGACCATTTTATTGTAGTCAACTACCCACTGTCCAATAGATCGTTTGGTCTATTTCTTTCATTCACACTTTATGTACACTTCATTTAGCCTCAAACCTACAACCTTATCATTACAGACGGGTGTGAGTGTGAGATCTGGATTATGCAATCTAGTTTAAATCAAAATATTCTACATGTCATACGTCATCAGCTGATTTTTAAATAGTAGTTCTAGTTGTACCTTTGGCCAATGACAACTTATACAGAATTTCAATATTTGCTGATCACAGATCCATAACTTTGATTGTCTATCAAAGTTGTCATATGTCATATGTCACCGTATCATTTCCGCTTAGATCATTATCCCTCCAGAAACTGACAGAGAATGTAGCGTAGAAGCAATTTTAAACTGTTTGTCCTCGTTTTAGTGTAGTGTTTTGTATAATTTATGTTAGTTTTAATGTTTCAACTTCCTACGCTTGCTGGATAGATCTTATTTTGACGAAGTAAGTCTAAAACGTTAATCTCAAAAACTTTTTTTCATC